TATCAAAGTATATTATGGAGCACATTATCAAAGTATATTAAAGGGTACACAGAAATATTTCACACGTGACCGGGATGAGCACAGTCTTACAGACATCTGCAGGACATGGAACTTCAGCTGGAAAATTCCAAAAAGACGCTGTGCCTATCCTGGACTCAGGAGTAAAAATACTGGTCTGTTCCCAGTGCTCTCAACACAACCTTTCAGGTGAATGCAAATATTTCATTTACTTTGGACGTCTATGTCGCAGAGTCGGTATGGAAGATCTTAGAGACACAAAAGATGGTTTGGACGTTTGATGGTGTGGGTCCAGTTTTTTTTTTTTTTTTTTTTTTTAACCAGTCCACGGTCAATGACTGCAGCTGTCTACTCAGAAACTTTAGAGCACTGCAGCCCAAACTATACCAGCACTTGTTATAATACCAATGGAATAATTGTATTTGATTGGCCGGCAAACCCACCTGACTTGAACCCCACTATGGTCCAAAACAGCTGCTTGCATGGATTCTCCGCTATGGCATTTATATCCGTATTTGTAATGAACTACTTAATGTATGTTGATAACCCATTTCATATTACTATAATTTAATGCTTAATTAGTGTTTTTTGAACTAATATTTTGCTATGTTATTTGAAAGTTGAATTAAAGGAACTATTTTTACCAATATCAAGTTTAACTATTAGGTTATTCCGATAAATGGACAAATATACTTTGCGGTTAACATTAAATATACTTGTGCTTTACTATATTAATGTGCAAATATATCTGTACGAACACCTTTTCAAAGAATACCGTACAATAATAAATTGAATTCACAATTAGACTCAAATCTATCGAAAAATATACTCATAGTCAGGTATGGTATTCGATACTGGTATTGAAATGTTTTCTTTATACATTTTCTTACAGTATATGCAATTTAAAATATGTTTAAATATATAAGTCAAAACATAAAAAACTAAAAAATTAAATAGAATTTTAAAAACGTGAAAAATATATATTTTTAGAAAGTACCCATAACTTTCATTGTAAGTAAATTGTAGTCCGAATGTATTTCTATAAAGTGTGCTAAAAGTGAAAGTATATACACACACCCTATAAACATACTATACGATATACCGGTATGTATATTAGTTTAGTGTCAACGTTGAAATACAATAAAGTACTTTTTTCCCAGCTTTTCGAGGGAAACGTAATAGAAATAACATTAAACATGTTTTATTTTTATTGTTTATCTTAAATATAAGAATTAAAAACATTTCTTCCTTTTAAATTAATAAAAAATGTTTTAACGAAAGCTAATCTAGCTTCTTGTGACGTCGTTTTTCTAACCGTTACCACCAGATGTCGCGCATGCGCTGTGTTCGAACCAGACGGCAAAAGAAAGACCACGTGGCAGCTTTTTGTCATTTAAAAGAATGATGGTGAGTTTTATGCGTGAATTCATATAATTTCAATTCATTTTCTTTTAGTGTTTGCTTATAGTCAAATATTACTACTTAACGTCCAAAAATCACACCAGAAACGTCCCATTTGCCCCAAAGGGATCTAGAACATTAGCTCTAATTATAAAATATGCAAATGAAGGTAGGCTGAATGACAAATAGCTGGTACCTCATACTCCCTGAAGCCCTAATGGTACTAGCACAAAGAGGTGTGTTTCTAGATAAAAAAAAAGCTCCTAGGAGAGATTACTCAGCAAATGTTATGTTAACAAATTCGTTAATGCTTACCATTGTGTCTCCAATCACTTAAAATAGTTGTTGTGCCTTAAAACGTACTGTGCATACTAATGTATCAATTAAGTATTTGTGTATTGACTCATGGCATGCGGAAAATTCATCATAAGTCTCCTAATTGACAGTTTGGCTTCAGTGTTTTTCTGCGCTCTGATGATAACAGACTATGGCAGAATCTGTGTGTAGTTCAGATTTGCTTGGCAATCTGGGTTTACCATATAAGTGTAATTACAAAACGTATCTTTTTTTTTTTTTATGTAATATGCGCATGACTGTTAATTCTTCATCCCCTAGAGTCTGAACCCAAATGAAGATATTTTCTCTTCTCCATAGATACCAATAATTGTGAAAAAGCATCTCCGAACTCCAGAGGTTCAACCCTAGCATTAAAAACTAATGGGGAAAGTGTTGCATGGCTAAAGAGCTCAGAGTTGGTTTTTTCTTAAGTTAAAAGCTCAGATTGACTTAAAAAAATTGGTTTGGAGACGTGGTCTGGTTTAAATGGCTCTTTGAAACAGTCATCTGTAGCAATTACAATATCTATAGACCCATGATGATGACCAATTAAATTAAAATGTGTTTTGGGGGAATAATGTCTTTGTAGTCATTGCAGACAAATATTGATGCTGCCACATTATGAATCCCTACTCGTAACTAAATTAATGGCATGCTGACGTTGAGTGTGTGGCATTTCGAAGTGCCAATGCAGCACGCCAACCTGTGTGAATATCATTAACGTAAAGAAGATTAATGCGCTGACATTTGTGAAGAGCGATAATGATGGAGTCTGCCCTCAGCGGACGATCTGCAATAATACATTTTGAGTCTGTGTAACACTGCTCAGGAGTTTTACACTTTCTTTCCTTCAGAACTATTTGCTGAAGATTAATCCTTGTCTGACATTTGCCAACATTTATCTCTTGTATGTGCTCTTCAATCAAAAAGGACTCATAACCATAGATCGGGGGTAGATAATTTCATTGTAGCCTTTACCTTCGACCTTTACATACACACCTCATCACACTAATTAAAATGGCTGGTTTGGGGCTACCTAGTAAGAAGACTCTGAAAGAAAGGTTAAAGAAGATTTGACTGAAAATGTGGCTTTATTTATCTTAAACATTAGATATTATAAGTCTAAAGGGAGAGGTAAGAAAGGAATTCAGACAGGAGATCCTTTCTCCAAGAGGGAGAGAACCCAAAAGAAGAAGAGCATTTCTGAGCTACTTTATTTCAGGAGCTTCTTTCTGGTTGTGTTGTATTCCCTGTTTGTGATGTATTTCCTGTTTGTGTTGTATTTCCTATTAAATCTCAGAAATCAACCAGAAAATAGGATTAGAAATATTATGATTTTTTTCACATGCAAGTCATCTGTGTATTGTTATTGTTTTTAGTTTTAATAATGCCGTATTATTGCTGTTAAATCAAATTTGATTTGTTGTGGTTTAAATTACTTCTGATCTATATATGCACACGACATGTATTATATTTTTTTAAAATGATAACTTATTTACATTTGGGGTTCACTTCAGGTAAGCAACAAGTCCGTAGCGCTTCCCCTTCCTTCGAAAAAGAATTGGGACACCCCTTCTTTCCATGTGAATGAGCAATGCAAGTAGAACTCAGCCTTAAGCACAGATCAAGCTACTGTAAGTGTGTGGACTGTGCAGAAACGGATGAGCCGAGTAAAAGCCTTTAAACTCAGCAGGTGGTGCCTGTATAAATAAGAGAAATGCATATTCATGAGCATTAGCATATATTTGCATACACCTGCATTAAGTTAAGGTCAGTTTAAAGCGGAGTAGAGGTGAAACACCCTGAGCTGTGAGTAGAGTTTAGCATTTAAACCAGGTTTATAGTTACAGGTGTAATGGTGGAGAGGAAACGCTTCAATATCAAAGCCTGAGGAGGTTTCACCCTAATAAAAATTACCACTCGCTGCCAGTTTCTGTTCCTTCTGCTTCATGTTCCCTACTCTGTGATCGTTTAGTTGTCTGAGACGGTAAAATAGTGAACCCCCTGGCCCATGTTTGTATTCTAATCCAGCACACGCAGTAGATGCTGCTTGAATGGAAGTCAAGGAGAGCAAAACGAGGGGTTTTCAGTGTGAGGAAAGCCTGTCTGCGGGCACTGCAACTCCACATGATTGATTCGAGGAGATGTGCAGGACCACAGCCATGAGCATCAACACAACTCCCTCGCTCTCTCTGAAAACATTGCATCTAACATTACATAACACCTGAGCTGCAAAGTCCAGTCCGATCAATGCTCATCTGTGACCTGCACCAGAGGAGGTATCTGGGATAAGCATAGCCTGTTAATTCAAGTGCTTGAATGTGAAGGGTCTAATCAATCATTTGAGATTCCTTGGCAACCTGTGTGTTAACTAATCTTCCCAGGTGGGAAAAAGCCTCACAATAAACTTCTTTAACCACCATGACTTTGACCTAATTCTATTCATTCTCCTTAGAAATTCATTTTAGGGCCTTCCCAATTCCATTTTCTTTGAAAAGGTAGGGCTACGTGGCTCAGGAAGCAATTATTTCTCCAGTACCACACATTGGGTTTCTTTAAATGTGTACATTGGCAAGACTGCAAACCTGATCTAACTGCAACTAAGGCTGACATCTTGTACTTTGAAAAGCTAGACGTTGATTCACTTTGGCCAGAAGCTCTTGATTGTGGCTGTTGGTAACTCGGAGGGAGAGGCATATCATTGGGGTCATCAGGTGGGTTATCCTTCCTCATGATTTCTTTGATTGAGGATAACCATGACTCCCTGTGTCCCAGTTTTACTTCCCTCTATGCCATATCCTCTATCTCCCCAATGGACTGCAACACAGGGACATCCTCCTCTAATCTTTTTTAAGGCTGATCTTGGCAGTTTTGGATCCATTATTTAATGTATTTCAGGATCATTGAGGAAGAATGTCTTAAAGGAAGTTCAAGGAAGAAGGAATGGTGCCATGTGCAGGTTTCACCCTGTGCAGGTCTACAACTTGGTACTACATAGTAATCAAAGACAGCATTGCAATTAACTGGGTGCGTGGTAAATTCTGCGTTGGCATGTGCCGATCATCAAGGCTCTGGCTTTTAGCAAAGCTGACAGGGAAGGGAAGTCACTTCCTCTACAGAGCGTAACCAAGAGCAAGAGTGTTTGTTAAATGTTTGTTTTTGGCAAACCTCAGTGGGAATTGGCTCATTACATTTACATTTATGCAATTGACAGACTCTGTTATCCAAAGAATGAACACATTTTTTACTTTCCCTGGGATTTGAACCCACAATCTTAGCGTTGTTAGCGCAATGCTCTACCAACTGAGCCACAAGAAAAGCTAGACAGATCCTTCGAGCGATCCAGTCTCTCTCGCCACCCATGGTAAATTGAGACACTGCAAGCATGAATGGTAACCTCTGGTACTTTTTTCCTCATCCCACCCCATACTGCCTAATTTCCAATGGTTACCAAAGTACAAGTTATGTGTTGTGAGGTCTGGAGACATGATTGAAGACTGAACTGTTTTAGATGCTTCAGGGAAACCAAGAGGACTAATGTTAGCAAGTTTTGAGCAACAAGACCCATCTGATGGGTTTCTCAGATAGTTCTGAGAGGATTTGGTGTTCTCTTTCTTTTCTTTGGGCTAGGAATACACGATGGTTCCTTCTAGGGTCCTTTAATTGATACTCAAATGTCACTGTGTTTGTTTGCTATATGATATATGTAACTGAAAATTCTTATCCACACAGCCAATGATTTATAAAGAAAAATTGACATGGGGTCCCTAAACTTTTGCATACACAGTCACTGAGAATTTCTTGCAGTAAGCAAAGGATGGGAGATTGATGAACGAGAAATCACTTTACTGTATTTAATGTTCAGTGTAATGATCCGTTACATTTACATTTATGCATTTGGCAGACGCTTTTATCCAAAGGGACTTACATTACAAATAAATAACATATTCTATTAATTCTTCTGTAATGGACTGGCGACCTGTCCAGGGTGTACCCCTGCCTCTCACCCAATGTGTGCTGGAGATAGGCACAGGCAGAGCCCCGTGACCCCAAAAAGGGAATAAGTGGGTTGGAAAATGAATGAATATTAACTCTTGCTTTCCCTGGGGATTGAACCCATGGCCTTTGGGTTGCTAACGCAATGTTCTACTGACTGATCCAGGCTTTTACACACAGTCACAACACAAAAATAAAACAAAAGTCATAGGCATCAAGCACTGGCTTTAGGTCTGATTGCCAAACTGAGTTTTCCTGCCAAAGGCAGATGGCTCAAAACCCAAACCCTCAGAACAAGACTAGAATCAAATCCCAGGTTGAGTCGGTCCTGTATGACATTCAGAGCACTGGGATTTAATTCTATGATTTTATTACATCTCTAGATGTGGTTTTATTATGATCCAACTGAACACAGCATGCACATTCACTGCTTTGGCTTCCAGAAGCTTCTCTGGGTGTATTGTCCATTTTAACGCTTGGATGACTTTATTGTCTGGGAACGCGGTGTGCAGGGACAAAATGTCCCAAACGAGCCTTGGTTATAACACACTGAAATTGATTTGCTATCAAGCTAAGTTAAATTATCTTTGTCAAATTTAGAAAAGGACCATTTTCATTTAGACGCAGTTTGCTCATGTGATCTTTCTTTTCAGTTTTGGAAAGTTGGGGAAATTGTACGTTTTCCCTCTAAGTTAGGCATGTTCCAATTTGATGCCTTTGCAAGTCTCATTACTGTTGGTTCCTTTTCTTCAAAAAAGGACTGAAGCTGGGGATTTGCTGTTGATCCAAGCCTTGTCTGATACAGGCTTCCAGTTGCTGGCCGCTGTGCTTGATTTTTTAAATGCTCCAAAGTGCTTCAGGAGATGAACTTCATAGACTCAAGGAGCCAAAGGGTGGTTTTAGATGATAAGCTCCAGGACTAATTTTAGGTTAAGAAAATGAGAAAAAAAGTTTAAAACCTCTTAAAATGGATTTATAATTTGAATTTAATTTGGCTACAGGCATCAAACTTTGCCAAAATATGGCCTAACACGGGATGCTATATCTTTTCAGACTGGTACCACTAAAGAAATTCTAGGAAAACGCTGAGAATTCGAGGAAATCTTCCTTTGACTTAACATGGGGTCAAACTTTAAAAACTGTAACTCAAACTGGGAACCTCATAGAAACTTCACACTTACCACACTTGTGGAGATTATGAGTCTGTGCATAGATTATGGTAACAAATACAGTTTTTATGACATCATCAATGGCTCCCTAGCAACCAAAAATCGCAGCTTTGGTAAATGATAGACACAGGGTTGCTTTGTATAACTTATAATGTGAAGACAACATTATACTATGTTACTTACCTCTCTATAGTAACCCAACTGTTTACCATAGCAACCATTTTGGCATATCACTATATCTATCTCAGGTTGGTTTATATTACCCAAATTGGCATGTGAAACTTTGCCCGATGTCACTGACAGTTCCATAGCAACCAAAAATACCACCTTTGGCAACCATTCCATTTTGCTAATAAAAATACTTTTAAATGGCACATTTACAAGCCAACATGAAACTGTGCCAAACTTTAGCCATCTAGCTTTCCTGTGGCTCACTCAGTAGAGCATTGCGCTGGCAAGGCAAAGGTCATGGGTTTAAACCCCAGGGAAAGCAAGAATTATTGGAATTGCTAGAAATGTAAGTCGCTTTGGATAAAAGCATCTGCCAAATGTGTAAATGTAATGTAGTTAATATAAACTGCACTGAAGTGGAACTGTGCCGTCTGACAAATATTGATTAGCAATGCCAAAGAGTTAAGAGCCATTGATAATTAATACGTGCATCTTCCCAAATGAGCTCGAACTCATGAATAATTATGAGGTACTGTTATTCTACAAAAATGGATCAGTACAAATATACTCTGCATACATTTGTTTTCAAACAAAATAGTGTAACGGTCAATAAAATTGCCTTAAATAATGTTCAACACATGCAAAACGCAGAAATTCTCATTATTTTTAGTTCCAGGGTATCGTGGCCAATCGCAGAATTTTCACTTTCTTTATCTGATTAAGATGTTCAGTAAATGTAGTTAATTAAAGATTGGTTATTTTACATGTATTTAAACCTTGTTGACCAATAGATGTTTGACACGTTACTAATACAGTAAAAAAACAACGAAATTGTAATTACGTTTATATTTACAATTAAACCAACCACCCAGCCGTAATTTTCAAATAGTTTAAAATCATAATAGTAATTTAAAAATGATTCCAGATTTCATTCTATATCCTCAGCCTCTTGAAGCTGGAACTGTCTGCATTCATGTACATCACAGAAGAGTGGAGTCTTGTGAATCACACACTCACGAGTGCACACAGTGCTATAGGTAGAGCTCTGGAGACTGGCTTGAGTCTATAATGAGGCGTCAGGCTGGAGGAACACTAATGCGAAGCCCCCAGGTAATAGCACGACGCGCGTTCTCAACATCTCTGCTCCTCCTGAGTCAAACACAGAGGAAATGCTGTTTTATATAATGAGGCGGTGTGTGTCTGAGCAGCAAAGGCCTCTGTGTTACTGCAGCTTCCCATGGTTTGTGCTGCGGTGAGATTCCTATAGAAGTGTCCCACCAACCTGTGTAATTAATCAGCACTGCAATACACATAGAGGTGTACCATCTGCCCTGGAGTCGCTCTTTTCTCTGCTTCTCTCTGTTTGTGTGTAGATCTCTGCTCCAGAAAGCATGCCGGCGTCTATGAAGGCAGCATACTAACTAGAGCAGGGAATTGTGCCGATTGCTTGTAATGATTTAGCTTCTTAAACAGCTCCTTTAATGAATCTTTTAGGGCTTGAAGATTCACCGCCCTGTGGTACTTACCTGCATGAAACCCACTGAAAATATAACTGCAAGCCGTAATATGGGGCCAAATTTAAGTCAGACAGGCACATTTTTCTCTATTATAGGCAACACAAACAAAAATGTATACAATGAAGTGCTTTACCAGGTTTATAATATTCGATCTGTTGCCGGACATTTTGAGAGCTCAACATTGTGTTTTGATTACTCGCACCATGGTGCCAATATGTCAAAGATAGAGATACAAATCCACCAAATTTGTCATAGTGTTAAATTAACTGGCGTTAGTTAAATAAATATGATGGACCCGATTATGGTAAAATTTGTATCCAAGTTCTCTTCCATAATCTAGGAAAAAGAACAGCTTTTGGACCGTATGTTAAAGATAGCAAAGTTATTAACATTTATCTAAATGTAATTATTGTCTAATTGTCTTTTGGCCACAAATGGGGTGTTGACAGCTAATTTTGTTGAGCACCTTCATAGTATGTTGGAAAATATGCAAGCCAACTTTTGTAAAGATATGTTAATGCAACTTTTTACTCAATCCAAAATGGTCTACTTATTTAAAATGGACACCAACTCATGTGATGGTTCAAATGTATTGAAACCATTTTTTAAATATTTTGATAAATTTATATGGAATTGTAAGACAAAAAGCCAATTTTTAACTTTGCAGGCAACCTCATATTTTTATAACATCCACCGTTTGTGATATATGAATGCATTGGCGAGCGTTAGGTCATCATTTTTCAGACACCATTCCTAAACACTTGGTTGCATCAAACTGAATTCCATAACTTTTATTCAACATGGTCAGATGATAGTCTTGAACGCAGAACGGATTTGGACTGAGCGAAGGATTCAAAGAAAAACAAACATTTTGTTTCTAGACCTTACAGTTCAAAAGTTACTGGCATAAACATAAGTGCAACTTTAAACTAGTGGTGGCGCTATAGAGTTTGAATTAGAGGGTTCAAATTGGGTGAGATTCCTTGTGAGAGCCAACTGTATCAGTGTACCAAATTTCATAACTTTTCTGAAAGCGGTTCACAGGGCTGCAATAGTTCCTGCACAGCTTCACTCTTTGGCCCCAAATAAACACATGGTCGAAATTCTGATTTAATTCTATAACGGCTTATAAAAGATACATGATCAGACAGTTCAATTAGTAAATGTCAAAACTGACTGTATCCTGTCCAAGAGTCACCTTTCATCGGTACGAATTAATGTAGTATTGGCTGTATCTTATTAAAATGTTAAAATCACAGGAAGATGTTTCCGTTTCATTGGCAAGTAAACATGGGGTTGTGCAAGGGGACCCAGGTTCCATTCCCTTGCGTGTGCCCCTCCCAATTCACTTACTAATTGCTTTCCTTGAAGTTGAAAACTCCAAAAATTTATATAAAAGAAAAAATGAAAGGTATGTTTGAAAAATGTGTAAATGTTTAATAAGCCAACAAACTAATAATATGATCAGAATTAAAATGACATTATATTTTGTTGGGCTGATAATCATAGTGTCAGTGACCTGTAAAGGTTGATTGATCGTAGCAAAAGCAAAGCTGGAAAAGAAACAAAAAAGGCTCTTGATATTAAGTGCTTAATCATTTCAGATTCCTCCTCAGATAAATCTTGTGCAATTCTCTAAAACAATGGGAATCTTGCTTTGCTCTGTGATGGGAATTTTAATAACAGTGTTTTTCTCACTGCAGACAGAACCAGGGGTATTATCTGGCATCAATAACACATTCCTCTTCCCAGGCGCTGCACTACATTGTTTTTGTTTTGATGTTTACATGAAGCCTACAGTCTGCTGCAAGTTTTCCATTCCAGACTTTATTAGAAAAGGATTAAATGCATTATTTTCTTTTGAGATTCTACGCACTATAACAAATAAGGACACCATGATAAATAAAAATGAATAAAAATACAAATCAGCTCTTGATACATCAATACAGCAAACATCTTTTGGGGCAGTTTCATGTCTTTGTAGCACCTCAGATCTCTGCAGAGATTCATGTGTGGTTCAGCCAAAGGAAAGATATCCAGAAGAAAGATGAACCAAGAAATGGGTTTTCAACCCGGATCTCTCTGTACATTTCTTCACTCGTCTTGCCATCAATCTGGACTAGTTTCCCAGTTGATGCTGCTCTAGATCACAACAAAAATCGTGGTGGCTCCAAACATCTTCGATTTATGAATAATAGGAGCCACAGAGCTCAATAGGACCATCATTTCCTGAGATTTGTGCCTCAACACAATCCTGAGATCTTTAGCCAGTTCCTTTGTTTTCATGTTTGGTTTCTGCTTTTCCAAATGG